AAATTGTAGAATCGAAAAATTGAACGAAATATCCAAAAATTAATAAATTAAAAAATTGAGAAATCGAAAAGTCAAAAAGCAAATTCGAAAAATCGCAAAGTTAAAAATTCGAAAAATTGAAAAATCGAAAAATTGAAGAACTGAAGAAATGAAAAATGGAAACTGGGAAGTGGAGAAACGGGAAAATAAAAAATAGATTAATTGAGAAATCCGAAAACTGAAAATTCAGAAAAGTCAAAATTTGAAAAATTAAAAAATATTGAAGAACTGAAAAATCTAAAATTTAAAACAGTCAAAAATTAAGATATCGTAAAATTCAAAAATGGAAAAATCCAAACATCAAAAAAATCAACGAATCGAAAAATCGAAACTAGAAAATTTTAAAAATTGAAAAATTAAAGTATGGAAAAGTTGAAAAATCTAAAGTTTAAGAATCGAAATAGTGAAAAATCTCAAAACTGAAAGAAATATTCAAAAATTGAGGATTTAAAACAATTGAGAAATCGAAAAACCAATAAAGCGAAGTTGAAAAATCGAAGAATTGAAGAACTGAAAAATCGAAACTTTAAGAAGTGGGAAAATCAAAAATAGATTACTTGAGAAATCGGAAAACTGAAAATTTAGCAACGTCAAAATCTGAAAAATTGAAAAATAGAAATACTGAAGAACTGAAAAAAAAATCGAGAAATCGAAAAATCTATATTTTAAAACATTGTACAAAAAATATCGCAAAATTGAAGAATCTAGAGATCCAAACACCAAAATATAAAAATTCGGAAATTTAAAATTTAAAAAATTGAAAAATCGAGAAATCCAAAAATCGAAACATCGAAAAATTAAAAATGAGACTCCGAGATAGCGAAAAATCAGAGGATCGAGAAATTGAGGAGTCGGAAGCCGAAAACAAAAGTTAAAAATTGAAAAATTGATAAATCGAGAAATTGGAAAATCGAAAATTAAAAATTTGAAAAATTGAATTATAGAAGAACTGAAAACTTGAGATATCGAAAAATCTCATAACTGAAATAAATATGCAAAAAACTGAGAAATTAAAAAAATGGAAAATTGAGAAATCGAAAAACTAAAAAAGCAAAGTCGAAAAATCGTAAGCTTAAAAAACTGAACAATTGAAAATTTAAAAATTCGGAAAATTGAAAAATTGAAATCTAGAACTGGAAACTCGAGAAATCGAAAAATTTAGAAATTTAAAAATGGAACAATTAAAATATGAAAAAGTTGAAAAATTGAGAAATTGAAATATAAAACAATCGAAAAATTGAAAAATCCAAAGTTTAAAAAATGAAAAACAGAAAATCCAAGAATAAAAAATCGAAAAATCCAGAAGGCGAAAAATCGAAAATTTAAAACAACGAAAAATTCGAATACATAAAGGAAATTGTAAAATCGAGAAACCCAAATATGAAAAGATCAAAAAAATAAAAAATTGGAAAATCTAAAATTTAAAAATCCAGAAATTGAACAATCGGTTAATTGGAAAATCGAAAATTTTAAAATTCCGAAAATTGACATAGACGCACTGAAAACTCGAGAAATTGAAAAACCTAAAATTTTAAAATGGAAAAGTTGAAAAATGAGAAATCGAAATAAAACAGTTAAAAAATTCGAGGAATCGGAAAATCCAGAACTCGAAAAGTCGAAATACTAAAAAATCCCAAAACTCAAATATCGGAAAATTGAAAAATAGAAGAAAAATTGTAAAATCGAAAAACTGAAAAATCACAAAATTGAACGAAATATCCAAAAATTAGGAAATTACAAAATTGAGAAACCGAAAAGTCAAAAAAGCAAAGTCGGAAAATTGCAAAGTTAAAAAATGGGAAAATCGAAAATTTGAAGAACTGAAGAAATGAAAGATGGAAACTTTGGGAAGTGGAGAAATCCGAAAACTGAAAATTCAGAAAAGTCAAAATTTGAAAAATTAAAAAATATTGAAGAACTGAAAATCTAAAATTTATAACATTGAAAAATTCAAATTCATCTAGGAAAATTGTAAAATCGAGAAATTCAAACATCAAAAAATAAAAAATAAAAAATCCAAAATTTAAAATCAACGAATGGAGAAATCGAAACTTGAAAATTTAAAAAATCGAGAGACCGAAAAGTAAAAAATCGAAAAACAGACAAATCGAAAAATCGAGGACTGGAAAAGTCGAGAAGTCGAAAAATCGCAAAATTGAGAAACCGAAATGGACCAAAATCGAAAAGTTAAAAATGGAAAAATTGGGAAATCGAGAGATTGAACAATCAAAACATCGAAACATCCGAATCTCGATAAATCGAGAAATCGAAAAATTAAGAAATTGAAGTATAAAACAATCGAAAAATTGAAAAATCTGAAGTTTAAAAAATGAAAAACTGAAAATCCTAAATTAAAAAATCGAAAAGTCGAAGAATCGAAATAGTGAAAAATCTCAAAACTGAAAGAAATGTCCAAAAATTGAGGATTTAAAAAACTGGAAAATTGGGAAATCGAAAAACCAATAGAGCGAAGTCGAAAAATCGAAGAATTGAAGAACTGAAAATCGAAACTTTAGAAATGGGAAAACTGAAAATTTAGCAATGTCAAAATCTGAAAAATTGAAAAATAGAAATACTGAAGAACTGAAAAATAAAAAAATTGAGAAATCGAAAAATCCAAACATCAAAAAATAAAAATTCGGAAATTTAAATTTAAAAATCTTGAAGCTGAGAAAGTCGAAAATCGAGAATTCGAAACTCCAGAATTTAAAAAATCGAAAAACTGAAAAATTGGAAAATCGAGAAATTGAAAATCCCAAAAGTAAAAAATTTAAAAACCAAGAAATCCAAACATCGAAAAATTAAAAACTGAGACATCGAGAACTCAAAAAATCAGAGGATCGAAGAATTTAATAACAAAATTCGAAATTTTGAGAAGTGGGAAATTCAAAAATAAATTAATTGAGAAATCGAAAATCTGAAAAATTGAAAAATAGAAATACTGAAGAACTGAAAAATAAAAAAATCGAGAAATCGAAAAATCTAAAACACTGAACAATTAAAATATCGCAAAATTGAAGAATCGAGAAATTCAAAAAGTCAAAAAATAAAAATTCGGAAATTTAAAATTTAAAAATCGAAAAACTGAAAAATCGACAAACCGAGAATTCGAAACTCCAGAATTTAAAAAATCGGGTGACTAAAAAATGGAAACACTGAAAAAAATCGGAAAATCGAGACATTGAAAAGCCCAAAAGTAAAAAATCGAAAAAAAAAATTGATAAATCGAGAAATTTTAAAAAAGAAAAATTGGAAAATCGAAAATTTCAAAATTCGAAAAATTGAAATATAGAAGAACTGAAAACTCGAGATATCGAAAAACCTAAAATTTTAAAAATTGAAATATTAAAACATCGAAAAGTTGAACAATTGAGAAATCGAAGTATAAAACAGTCGAAAAATTAAAAAATCTAAAGTTTATCAATAAATTGAAAATCCAAAAAGTAAAAATTCGAGAAATCAAAAAAAATCCAGCAATCCAAAAATCGAAAAATCGAAATATTAAAAAATCTCATAACTGAAATAAACATGCAAAAAATTGAGAAATTAAAAAATTGGAAAATTGAGAAATCGAAAAACTAAAAATGCAAAGTCGATAAATCGTAAGCTTAAAAAATTGAACAATTAAAAATTTAAAAATTCGGAAAATTGAAAAGTTTAAATCTAGAACGGAAACTCGAGAAGTCGAAAAATCTAGAAATTGAAAAATTAAAAAATTAAAATATGGAAAAGTTGAAAAATTAAGAAATCAAAATATCGAAAAATTGAAAAATCTGCAGTTTAAAAAATGAAAAACTGAAAGTCCAAAAATAAAAAATCGAAAATATAGAAGTCGAAAAAATCGAAAAGTCGAAGAATTGAAATAGTAAAAAATCTCAAAACTGAAAGAAATATCCAAAAATTGAGGATTTGAAAAATTGGAAAATTGAGAAATCGAAAAACCAATAAAACGAAGTCGAAAAACTGAAAATTCGAAATTTTGAGAAGTGGGAAAATCAAAAATAAATTAATTGAGAAATCGGAAAACTGAAAATGTAAAATATTGAACAATTAAAATATCGCAAAATTGAATAATGGAGAAATCCAAACATCAAAAATTTAAAAAACAAATATTCGGAAATTTACAATTTAAAAATCGAAAAACTTAAAAATCGACATCGAGAATTCGAAACTCTAGAATTTAAAAAATTGAAAAATCGGAAAATCGAGAAATTGAAAAGCCTAAAAGTAAAAAATCGAAAAATCGAGAAATCCAAAAATCGAAACATCGAAAAATTAAAAACTGAGACATCGAAAAATCAGAGGATGGAGAAATTGAGGAGTCGGAAAGAAAAGTTAAAAATTGATAAATCGAGAAATTTCATAAAAGAAAAATTGGAAAATCGAAAATTTAAAAATTCGAAAAATTGAAATATAGAAGAACTGAAAAGTCGAGATATCGAAAAACCGAGAATTTTAAAAAATGAAATATTAAAACATCGAAAAGTTGAGAAATTGAGAAGTCCAAATATAAAACAGTCGAAATATTGAAAAATCTAAAGTTTGACAATAAATTGAAAGTCCAAAAAGTAAACAATCGAGAAATCAAAAAAAAAATCGAAAAATCGAAATATTGAAAAACCGTAAAATGGAAGAGGACAAAAATTGAGAAATCGTATCATTGAAACACCGGAAAATTGAAATATTGAAAAATTGAGACATCTAAAGTTTGAAAAATCAAGAAATCGAAAAGCCGAAAAATCTCAATAGCGTATTTATAAATCACAAGTTCAGGACTATGCTACTTTTTAACATTTTCATTTAAATAACATTATAAATTGGAAAATTTTGTTTTTTTCTAAAAATCTTGACGTCTAAGGTGAAAACTCAACACAGATGCATAAATCGTAAACGGAGGATATAAAATTTAAATTACATCTACTACTGTAAAATTTGAATATATACTTAAACAATGGTAGGACTTAATAGTCTTCAGCTATGGAGTTAGACAGCTGAATTAATATTATAATATAAGTGGTAACCCCTCCAATAATCTGACAACAAGGACTCTAGAGACACAATCGTAAAATTTGGCGAACTTACCGAAAATATCAGCGTGTAATTGATAGAAAAAAATCCGGCGGCGTTAAACTCAACTTCCTCGTTTGCTATCTGTAGCGAAAACATCTCGATTTCGTCCCTAATATCACAATCTTCGGTATCAATCCTGTGGATAAGTTCACCAGTTCTCTTGACCTGTGGACACAGTTGTGTTTAAAATAATCAAAATTTTCAAATTATACCTCTTCAATAGTTGAATAGCAAGCGTCACAAATGTATACCACGTTCATTACGAACGTCACATTAGCCAAAAGTGGGTTGAAAACGTCAATCGCGTAAAAAACCGACGTCTTTAGTACGACGTTCAAGTAAAAAATAGAAATAACAATAATCACGAAACTAACGGCGAACATCAAGAGAAGAATCAACCCGAAAGCGTCATTAAAAAGTCGGACAAGTTTCGACAAGTGGTGGTGCAAAGCACAGATTTTGCTCAGAGTGAGCAAGTGCTCAACGTTGCTCTGTTTCGACGTTCTGGCCCCACTTTTCTTAAACCGATCAACCAAACTCAAAATCAGCTTATTCAGGATGGTAAATCGGGCTTTTAACATCAACACTAGCTCCCCAGTCTGGTGACAAATCACCGAATTCATCATAATTAAAACGTACGCCATGGACTCCACCACCATATTCGACCCTTTCGGCAGAGTAATATACACCAAAGTACCCACATTCGCAACCACAATCACGTGTCTAACCAAACACTGAACCAGAATTTTTTTCTGCCACTTGGTGTAGTTCATCCGGGTACCCATCGCCTGCAACTGAGCGTCGAATTCGATCACTTTCACCAAAAAATCTACGAATAAATCGCGCTTTGTGGTGGCACAAACCCATGCAGTGACCATGTAGACCACATTCCCCGCCAAAATCATGATATCGGTGGCTTTGTAAATCAAAAGCGTGTCGTAGATGGCGGTGCTGTACACGCTGTAAGAAATCGCCGGCAAGTAGGCAACCACAGCCAAGAAATTCAAAAAGGAGTGCAGTTTTGAGGGTTCGAAGGTGGTTTCGTTGAAGGTGATGAAGCCGAAGATTTTGCTCTGGAGGAGGAGAAGTCTAATAGAGTGGAGGAATTTTTGGGAGAGTTTGTCGTCGGTTTTATGAAATTGGATTATCTTCGCCATGGCGATGCGATGGTACGAATGTGAATAGATTTAATTGAAACTACCTATCTAGGTAATTTATTATTGGTGATTGATTACGTTCGTAATTGATTTCAGTTGGTGTCTAATTACAAAATACAAACATGTTTGTCGTTTGCTTTTATTTAAACATGAAAAAATTAATGTTTAGCTAGACTGGCTGCAAGTTGTATTAATATGATGATGTAAGTAGTGACGCCGCCGATGATCTACAAACAAATCTATTTAAATTTTCGTGCATCTCCTCGACGTATTTATTTTACCGTGAAGAGCAGCCGATGATCGATCGGGAATAATCCAGCTGCACTAAACTCCACGTCGTGACTAACGATCTGTAAAGAAAACATCTCGATTTCGTCGACGACGTCGTAATTGTCAGTGCCAATTTGGTGAATGTATTTGCCAGTTCTGCTAGCCTAGAATCATTCAACTGTACCCTTACAAAATCGGTTCCAGTGAGATTTTTTTGTAACTATGCAACCCAAACTACCAACCCACCGCAGGTACCGACCCAAGAGAGGAGAGATTACGGTCACTGTAGGGAGTCCGTTTGTATATATTTTGAAAGAAATTGAGTTGAAAGTTTAAAACGCTGCAGAAAATAGGTTGAGAAACCCACAAGGTTCAGTCTAACACAACTTTTTGTTTTCTTTATAATGTTTTAAAAATATATAAAATAAACTGTTTATGTGCAAATGTAACAGTAAAAAAAATGCAATTGTTTAGTCCTGTGTTCCAATATTGTATGAAAAAATGAACTAAGTCCAACTTGAATGGTCGGTACTAAGGTCTACCACTCAATGTTTCCTTGAAAAAAAGTTACTTATTTCAAACAAGAAAAAAGAAAAAGTACTCGTCGAACTCGTCATCACTTCGATAGCCCTCTGTAAATGTTAATTCCGTGTAAAATGACTGAAACTCCTCCGACACGAACAACTTCAGTTCTTGCAGTTGATCGTATTTTTTCCAAGCATAATATAACGCTTCAAGGTTAGATTTCCAGATATAAGATACAGAAAAAACGAAAACGTTCCTTGGCATGAAAAAATTTTAATTTAAAAAATGACATCCTGAATGGACCCAACCACATATTAGGGGACCATTCTAAATGTGCATAATCTTGAATTTGTGGTTAAAAATACATTATTGAGATTATTCGGCTCCTAGATTTCTCGATTCTTCTACTTTAGACGTTTCAATTTTGGGCATTTTCAATTTTTCCATTCTTCAAATTTTCGGTTTCTCCATTTTTTTATTTTTCGATTTTTCAATTTTCCGATGTTTCAATGATACAATTTCTCTATTTTTATCCTCTTCAGTTTTACGATTTCCAAATATTTCGATTTTTCAATTTTTCAAATTTTGACGTTTCTAAATTTTCAGTTTTCCGATTTCTGAAGTAATCTTTTTTTTCCCATTTCTTCCCAAAGCTTCGATTTTTCACTTCTTCAATTCTTCAATTTTTCGATTTTTCAGGTTTTTGATGTTGCAATTTTTCAATTTCTCAAGATTTTGATTTTTCAATTTTTCTATTTTATAAGCTTACGATTTTTCGACTTCTGAATTTCCCGATTTTCAGTTTTTCGGTTTTTAAACTTTGGATTTTTCAAGATTGAAGAACTGAAAAATCGATAAAATCTAAAATTTAAAACAGTGAAAAATGGAAAAATCCGAACATCAAAAAATCAAAAAAATTAAAATTCGAAAATCTAAAATTTAAAAATCGAAAAACTGAAAAATCAACGAATCGAGAAATCGAACTTAGAAAATTAAAAAAATTGGAAAGTTGAAAAATCGGATAAATCAAAAATCGAAAAATCGAGACACCGAGAAGTAAAGAGTCGAAAAATCGAAACATCGTAAAATTCAAAAACTGAGACATCGAGAAATCGAAAAATCAAAAGATCGAAAATTCGAGGAGCGGAAAAGTCGAGAAGTTGAAAAATTGAAAATTTGACAAACGAAATAGGCCAAAATTGAAAATTTAAAAATTCGGAAAATTGAAAAATTAAAATCTAGAACTGGAAGCTTGAGAAATCGAAAAATCTAGAAATATAAAAATTGAAAATTAAAATATGGAAAAGTTGAAAAATTGAGAAATTGAAATATAAAACAATAAAAAAATTGAAAAATCTAAAGTTTAAAAAACGAAAAACTGAAAATCCAGAAAAAAGTCAAAGAATCGAAATAGTGAAAAATCTCAAAACTGAAAGAAATACCCATAAATCGAGCATTTAAAAAAACGAAACTTTGAGAAATGGAAAAGTCAAAAATAGATTAATTGAGAAATCGGAAAACTGAAAATTTAGCAACGTCAAAATCTGAAAAATTGAAAAATAGAAATATTAAAGAACTGAAAAATTAAAAAATCGAGAAGTCGAAACTCCAGAATTTAAAAAATCGAAAAATTGAAAAATCGGATAACTAAAAAATCGAAACATTGAAAAATCGGAAAATCGAGAAATTGGAAAGTCCAAAAGTAAAAAATCGAAAAACCGAGAAACCCAGAAATTAAAAACTGAGACATTGAGAAATCGAAAAATCAGAGGATCGAGAAATTGGAGTCGGAAGCCGAAAAGAAAAGTTAAAAATTGAAAAATTGATAAATCGAGAAATTTTAAAAAAGATAAATTGGAAAATCGAAAATTTAAAAATTCGAAAATTTGAAATATAGAAGAACTGAAAACTCGAGATATCGAAAAACCTAGAATTTTAAAAATTGAAATATTAAAACATCGAAAAGTTGAACAATTGGGAAACCGAAGTATAAAACAGTCGAAAAATTGAAAAATCTAAAGTTTAACAATAAATTGAAAATCCAAAAAGTAAAAAATCGAGTAATCAAAAAAAATCCAGCAATCGAAAAATCTCATAACTGAAAGAAATATCCAAAAAATTGAGAAATTAAAAAATTGGAAAATTGAGAAATGGAAAAACTAAAAAAGCAAAGTTGAAAAATTGTGAGCTTAAAAAATTGAAAAATTGAAAATTTAAATATTCAGAAAATTGAGAACTTTTTTTTTTTATTTTTCGATTTTTCAATTTTCCGATGTTTCAATGATACAATTTCTCAATTTTTATCCTCTTCAATTTTACGATTTCCAAATATTTGGATTTTCAAATTTTGACGTTTCTAAATTTTCAGTTTTCCGATTTCTGAAGTAATCTTTTTTTTTCCCATTTCTTCCCAAAGCTTCGATTTTTCACTTCTTCAATTCTTCAATTTTTCGATTTTTCAGGTTTTTGATGTTGCAATTTTCCAATTTCTCAAGATTTTGATTTTTCAATTTTTCGATTTTATAAGCTTACGATTTTTCGACTTCTGAATTTCCCGATTTTCAGTTTTTCGGTTTTTAAACTTTGGATTTTTCAATTTTCGACTGTTTTATGTTTCGATTTCTCAATTTTTCAACTTTTCGATATTTTAATTTTTCAATTATTTAAAATTCTAGATTTTTTGATTTCTCGCGTTTCGGTTCCTCTATATTTCAATTTTTCAATTTTCGGGATTTATAAAATTTTCGATTTTCCAATTTTTCGATGTTTCGATTTTTAAATGATCCGATTTTTCAATTCCCCAATTTTTAAATTTTAGATTTTCCAATTTTTATTTTTTCGATTTTTTCATTTTGGATTATTTATTATTGCTAAAAGTAAAACTAAAAAATAACTACTAAAATTGCGACTAAAAATATGCAAAAATTAATAGAAAATAGAACACAATACTGCTAAAACATAAAAATAACTGTACTTTCCCAAAAAAAAATCTATTGCATGATTACGGTTCCACTAGTATTGCTAATTTAGGACGTTTTGTTAGTATCAAACACAATTAAAGAATTAATTCTTAGTTAAACAAAAAATTTAAATACTGCATAATTCATCTCAATTGTGATTAATTTTTGTATTGGTTGTGAGACGGAGGGCGGAGCTTAAAAGCAGAGTTCATATTTTTCTACAAGAAATGACAATGTGAAATATGTTAAAAAAATGAGGAAGTGCAAAATTGAAATATCTTTACTATTTTGTAGAGAACTCTGGATTTTGCAGTTAAGCTCCTCCTCTCAATCTGACATCAAATGAAAAATTCATCAGAATTGAGATAGGGTGGGTGGGTGGGGCTTAATCATTGCCATCTTTTTCTTAATGTATATAGTTTTTTTTTTTTTTTTTCAAAAACACGATACTTAAATTCAGTCTTTGATATTTTAAGTATTTTACTGTTGAAAGAAGACTAGTATATTACGAAAAAAAAAAAAATAAAAGGATAAGCCCCACCCACCCACCCGATCTCTATTGTGATTAATTTTTTTATTCATTGTGAGACGGAGGGCGGAGCTTAAACGCAGAGTTCATATTTATCTACAAAAAATTACCATGTGAAATATGTTAAAAAATGAGGAAGTGAAAAATTGAAATATCTTTACTATTTTGTAGAGAACTCTGGATTTTGCAGTTAAGCTCCGCCCCTCAATCTGACATCAAATGAAAGATTCATCAGAATTGAGATAGGGTGGGTGGGTGGGGCTTAATCATTGACATCTTTTCCTTAATGTATATAGTTTTTTTTTTTTCAAAAACACGATACTTATATTCACTATTTGATATTTTAAGTATTTTACTGTTGAAAGAAGACTAGTATATTACGAAAAAAAATAAATAAAAGGATAAGCCCCACCCACCCACCCGATCTCAATTGTGATTAATTTTTTTATTCGTTGTGAGACGGAGGGCGGAGCTTAAACGTAGAGTTCATATTTATCTACAAAAAATTACCATGTGAAATATGTATGTTAAAAAAATGAGGAAGTGCAAAATTGAAATATCTTTACTATTTTGTAGAGAACTCTGGATTTTGCAGTTAAGCTCCGCCCCTCAATCTGACATCAAATGAAGAATTCATCAGAATTGAGATAGGGTGGGTGGGTGGGGCTTAATCATTGACATCTTTTTCTTAATGTATATAGTTTTTTTTTTTTTTCAAAAACACGATACTTAAATTCAGTCTTTGATATTTTAAGTATTTTACTGTTGAAAGAAGACTAGTATATTACGAAAAAAAAATGAAAGGATAAGCCCCACCCACCTACCCGATCTCAATTGTGATTAATTTTTTTATTCGTTGTGAGACGGAGGGCGGAGCTTAAATGCAGAGTTCATATTTTTCTACAAAAAATTACCTTGTGAAATATGTTTAAAAAAATGAGGAAGTGCAAAATTGAAATATCTTTACTATTTTGTAGAGAACTCTGGATTTTGCAGTTAAGCTCCGCCCCTCCATCTGACATCATATGAAAAATTCATCAGAATTGAGATAGGGTGGGTGGGTGGGGCTTAATCATTAACAGCTTTTTCATAGTGTATATAGTTTTTTTTTTTCAAAAACACGATACTTACAACATAATTCTAATCTCAAATTCACTGTTTGGTATTTTAAGTATTTTACTGTTGAAAGAAGGCTAGCATATTACGAAAAAAAAAAAGAAAGGATAAGCCCCACCCACCCGCCCCATCTCAATTGTGATCAATTTTTTTATTCGTCGTGAGACGGGGGGCGGAGTTTAAATGCAGAGTTCATATTTTTCTACAAGAAGTTACCATGTGAAATATGTTTAAAAAAAATTGAGGAATTGCAAATTCGAAATTTCGTAAAATTACAAATCTGGGGGACCGAAAAATTACAAAATCTGAAAAATTACAAAAAATGTAGAAAGGGAAAATTAAAGTTTGAAAATTAGAAAACCTAAAATCGGAAAACTGTAAAGTCAAAAAATTGAAGTAAGAAAAATTGACAAATGGAAAATTTGAAAATGGAAATATTAAAACTCGAGCTGACTGTAAAATCGAAACATTGTACAATTAAAAAATTGTATTTATATGGCTTACTTCCGGAGATAGTAGATTCTCGTTATAAAAGAAGTCAAATTCTAAAAAAAAATTGTAAATTTAAAAAATTTTATTTGAATTCGCAGGAATAAATAGTGAAATAGGTCTACTGGAGATACCACGTAAAAAAAAAACGCCCCTATAATACTTTACCTCATAGGTGGTGCGGAAGAGTATCAAAAAAATTAAAATTATCTAAATGTGATTGTTCAGGTAAATAACTGGTTAGTGAAGTGATGAGAATCTAAATCTTGTCAGTTTTTTGTATTGATTCATATAAAAAATTGAAATAATTTTTTGAAAGAAAATATTTTATGACCTGAACTGATTACATGAAAGGGTCGGTCGGCAAGGCTCCCTGCTGTGTCAAACTGAACCATTGATTGAAACCGATCCTTTGTAAATAGAATTGCCTAGTTTCACATTATTTTCATTATTCAATATTTTTTTAAAAAGCAAACATTTTGATAAATATAAATTTAAAAAAAAAATGACCGGTTCTTCCCCATAGAGCTCAATGTTGTCTTTGCACTGATATAAAAGTTGAAGCGAAACATGCTCTCTCCTCGTCTAAAAATGAAATTTCCTTCGAAAAATGAACGATTAATTAAACACTAAACAATCACTTATTTTATAAAATATTGTTTCTTCCCCAGACATTTAGACATAATCTATCAATTGAAATGTCGATCTTTTTTTCAAATTTAAAATTACGCCCGTGCAATGAACTTCTATTTAGTTCATTTTTCGGTCTGCTTACTGGACACCGTTAAATCAATAACCGTCTTCTTACCTCATCCACAGCCGTATAACAAAGACTGCAGACATAAACAACATCAATAATAAAAGGTGTACACGCCACTGCCAGCGAAATTACATTGTTCCAAGCTATTTCTTCGGCCTGTAGATTCGAGGCAACAAAAAACGCCGCAATCACTATGTAAACGAAACTAGCGCCAAAAACAAAGAGCAAAATTAGCCCGAAAGCGTCGTTAAATTGCTGCACAAACTTGTACAACGAGTGGTGCAAATCGCAGCTTCTGCACAACGAGATCAACAGAAATCGATCTTTAGACGAACTCTTACTTAAACCATCTATGTAGCCGTTCAAGATTTTGAACCGCGTTTTAAACATGGAAATTAGAGTGACGCTTAGAAAGCAAATTGCCGATTTCGTGGTGACAAAAATCACATAAATACTTTCCGAAATGGCGAATTCCGGATCATCGATGTTCGTGTAGGCCACAATCGCCCAGATTAAAATCACCATGAGTAGATTTCTTGCCAGAAATTCCCACAGGACGTGTTTTTTGGTTCTGGCGTAGTCGATCGAGAAACCAAAATTGTGGAATTTCTTGTCTAGTTTTATTAGTTGGTTTAGTAAACTGCCAATTTTTGGGGACTTGGTGATTCCACAAAACCACATCGTTGCAAGAAAAACTGTGTAAGTTATTATCAGGATTATGTTCGTGGTTTTGTTAATTTTCGACTGGTTGGACTCGATAAGCACGAAAATTCCGTATGTGGTGGTCGATAAAACCAAAATCGTGGTAAGAATATTGATGGTGTTGCGGAATTTAGAAGGGCGGAATTTTTCGTCGGATGCACTGAATGTCACAAAGCCGATTATTTGGTTTTGTAGTAGCACGAGTTTGATGGAGTTGAGGAATTTTTTGTTCATTTTGGGGAATTGAGGAAACTTGTCGAGCACAGGGTGATATCTAATTGATCTACTAATGTATTGCTGTGTTGTTATTATTATGGTTGACGGTGTGTTTCTGTATTAAATTTTATCAGATATCGATTGTTGTATTTTTTTCAGCAACGAAATGGATAATTAAAATTAATTAAAATAATTAAAAATTATCCCGTTCAAAAATTTAGCAGTGGAAATTGTTGGAGTATAATGGTTTTACAACTAGTTCTTTTGCTACGTTTAATAATTAAACAATACATTCATTATCACAATAACTAGTAATGGTAAATTTTGACTGGAAAATATGATGATGATGAAAAATTGATCACATTGAGATCGGGCCAAGTATATGAGGTTTGCTATAGAAAAAAGTAAGGAATTTGCCATTAAACTCCACCTCCCGGCTAACGACGAATACAAAAAATCATCAGAATTGAAACAGGGCGGGTGGGCGGGGTTTATATTTTGCCCAATTTTCCCTTAATATACGTAGTCTTCTTTCCACAACAAGAAACTAAATTTTTTTTTTTTCTTAATATATATAGTCTTTTTAACAAGACAGTACTTAAAAACATGATTCATATACGTATATGAAAAAAAAGTAAAATATAAGCCCCGCCCTATCGCAATTGTGATGATTTTTTTTTATTCGTCGTGAGTCGGGGGGCGGAGCTTAATTGCAAAATTAATTTTCGTTTCTCTACAAGCAATTATCTTGTGAATCTTCATTTCACAACAAAAAACTTCAGAGGTGTTCAAATGGTAAATTTTTGTTGGGAAATTTTTGGATTTGTTAAATTTTTGATTTTTTGATTTTTCTATTTCTCGATTAATTTATCGAGATTTCGATTTTTTGATTGTTCAATTTCTGGATTTTTCGATTTTTTGGGGTCTTTGGTGTTCTATATATTTTTGGAAAATTCTGACCTGATCTATTTTTGAGTTAATTTTGAAACCCCGTTTTTTTTTGAAAAATTTGAAACAATCTTCAAGTTCTAGCTATTCCTGTTTTTGAAAAATTTGAAAATGCTTTGTAGCTTCTAGGGTCTTTTCTTACAATCGTCGCCTGAGAACTTGTTTGATCTAAGCGATTTATCTCTATTTCTCGATTTTTTTATTTTTCGATTTCTCAATTTTCCGGTATTCCAATGATACGATTTCTCAATTTTCGTCCTCTTGAATTTTACGATTCTTAAATATTTCGATTTTTCAAACATTTTTCGACTTGCCAGTTTCGATTTTTTTCAATTCTTCAATTTTTCGATTTTTGATTTTTTGATTTTTCGATTTTTTTAAGCTTCGACTTTGCTTTTTTGCTTTTCGATCTTTTCCAATTTTTTCATTTCTCAATTTGGATGTATCTCTTAATTTTAGGGTTTGTCAATATTTCTATTTTTCTGCTGCTGGATTTTTTGATTTCTCGATTGTTTTATATTTCAATTTCTCTCTTTTACAACTTTTCGATGTTTTAATTTTTCAATTTAAAAAATTCTAGGTTTTTCGATTGATCGAGTTTTCAGTTTTTCTATATTTCAATTTTCGGAATTTTTGAATTTTCGATTTTTCCAATTTTTTTTTTTTTAATTTTTCGGTTTTTCAATTTTTTGATTTCTGGATTCACTGATTTTTCGATTTCTCGATGTCCCAGTTTTTGAATTTTTCAGTTTTTGGATTTTTCGGTTTTTCGATTTTTTAGTTTGGAGGTTTTCAATTTTCCGATTTTCCAATTTTTCGATGTTTCGATTTTTCAGTTAACCGATTTTTCAATTTTTTAAATTTTAGATTTTCGAATTTTGGTTTTTTGATGTTTGGAAAATTTTGGATCCATTTTTCACTTTTGCGAGATTTTAATTGTCATTTTTTTTTAAACATTTTTAATTTTGGATTTCTCGATTTTTTTATTTTTCAGTTCTTCAGTATTTCTATTTGTCAATTTTTCAAATTTTGACGTTTCTGAATTTTCAGTTTTCCGATTTGTCAACTAATCTATTTTTTGATTTTCCCATTCCTTGACATCCCAAAGTTTCGATTTTTCAGTTCTTCACTTCTTCAATTTTTCAATTTTTCAGGTTTCTGATTTTTCAGGTTTTTGATTTTTCAGTTTTTTGATTTGTTAAGTGTGCGATTTTTTGAATTTGCTTTTTTGACTTTTTAATTTCCTAATTTTTCATCATTTTATTTTCCCAGTTTTTGGATATTTCATTCAATTTTGTGATTTTTCAGTTTTGGAATTTTTTTAGTATTCCGACTTTTCGGTTTTTCGATTTTTTACTTTTGGGCTTTTCAATTTTCCAATTTTTCGATGTTTCGATTTTTCAGTTATCCGATTTTTCAATTTTTTAAATTCTGGAGTTTCGATTTTTCGATTTGTCGATTTTTCAGTTTTTCAATTTTCAAATTTTAAAATTTTCGAATTTCGATTTTTTGATGTTTGGAAAAATTTGAATTCATTTTTCACTTTTGCGAGATTTTAATTGTCAATGGTAAAACATTTTAGATTTTGGATTTCTCAATTTTTTGATTTTTCAGTTCTTCAGTGTTTCTATTTTTCAATTTTTCAAATTTTGACGCTTCTGACAGTTTTCCAATTTCTCAATTAATCGATTTTTAATTTTCTCATTTGTCGACTTCTCGAAGATTCGATTTTTCAGTTCTTCACTTCTACAATTTTTCGATTTTTCAGGTTTTTGATTTTTCAGTTTTTCGATTTTTTAAGTGTGCGATTTTTTGAATTTGCTTTTTTGACTTTTTAATTTCCCAATTTTTCATCATTTTATTTTCCCAGTTTTTGGATATTTCATTCAATTTTATGATTTTTCAGTTTTGGAATTTTTTTAGTATTCCGACTTTTCGGTTTTTCGATTTTTTACTTTTGGGCTTTTCAATTTTCCAATTTTTCGATGTTTCGATTTTTCAGTTATCCGATTTTTCAATTTTTTAAATTCTAGAGTTTCGATTTTTCGATTTGTCGATTTTTCAGTTTTTCAATTTTCAAATTTTAAAATTTTCGAATTTCGATTTTTTGATGTTTGGAAAAATTTGAATTCATTTTTCACTTTTGCGAGATTTTAATTGTCAATGGTAAAACATTTTAGATTTTGGATTTCTCAATTTTTTGATTTTTCAGTTCTTCAGTGTTTCTATTTTTCAATTTTTCAAATTTTGACGCTTCTGACAGTTTTCCGATTTCTCAATTAATCGATTTTTAATTTTCTCATTTGTCGACTTCTCGAAGATTGGATTTTTCAGTTCTTCAATTCTTCGATTTTTCGACTCTTTTTTAGTCTTTAAACTTTTCAATTTTGCGACTGTTATATTTCGATTTCTCAAATTTTCAACTATTCGTTATTTTAATTTTGAATTTTTAAAATTCTAGATTTTTCAATTTTCCGAATTTTTAAATTTTCGATTTTTCGGTTATGGTCTATTTGGGTTTCTCAATTTTTCGATTTTTCGACTTCTCGACTTTTCGACTCCTCGATTTCTCGATGTGTCAGTTTTTTAATTTTTCGTCGTCTCGATTTGTAGATCTTTCAGTTTTTCGATTTTTAAATTTTAGTTAGATTTTCGAATTTTTATTTTTTTGATTTTTTGATGTTTCGATTTTTCCATTTTTCAATTTTACGATATTTTAATTCATCAATGTTTTAAATTTTAGATTTTTCAGTTCCTCATAATTTTTCAAATTTTGACGTTTCTGAATTTTCAGTTTTCCGATTTTTCAGTGAATCTAATTTTTGATTTTCCCATTTCTTGACTTCCCAAAGTTTCGATTTTTCAGTTCTTCACTTCTTTAATTTTTCGATTTTTTAGTTTTTCGATTTTTTAAGTTTGCAATTTTTCGACTTTGCTTTTTTGACTTTTCGACTTCCCAATTTTTCATTATTTCGATTTTTCGAGTTCTGGATTTTTCGATTTCTCGAATTTTTACTTTTTGAATTTTCAATTTCACGTTTTTTAAACTTTGGCTTTTTCAATTTTTCGGCTGTTTTTTACTTCAATTTCTCAATTTTTCAACTTTTCCATATTTTAACTTTAATTTAAAAATTTAGACCTTTTTGAAAAAAGAAACACTACAGAATTGTTAAAGTTTTAATTACAGGGGTAGTAGTTTCTGATACATATTTTTAGGACAAGAAACAATATTAAATTACACATAGCTTTTACATCTAGAGAAAGAGGTGGAGGAGCCGCAGGTAGACTACAGTGGAAACTTATGTATTATCCGAAAGAGTGGCTGATAACTGAATCAAAATGATGATATACGTGGTAACACCCCCAATTATCTAAAAAAAAAACACCCTAAAAACACATCACCACCTTGAAACCACTTACCGAAAACAGCAAACTAAAATTAACAGGAAAAAACCCCGCAGCGTTAAACTCGACCTGCTCGTTCGCAATCTGCAGAGAAAACATCTCAATCTCATCCCTCATATCGTGATCATCGCTCTCAATCTTGTGTATAAGCTCGCCTGCCTTCTTCGCCTACGAATCCCAACATGTATCAAAAACACCAGCCACATAGAACTCACCTCTTCGATAGTTTCGTAACACACGTCGCACACATAAATCGTATCTAGAACGAAACTCACACAACTAAATAACGCCCAAAACAAATTAATCCACCTGATTTTGGTAGACTGAAGCGCCCCCGAGCAGTAAAAGAACGCCAAAACTATAGCCACGAAACTCGCGCCGAACATTAGCAGCAGCACCACTCCGAAGACTTCATTGAAGAGCTTAACCATCTTAGTCAAGTGGTGATGCAAAGCGCAGACTTTACTCAGCGCCAAGAACTGATTTTTCGGACTTTTGTAAACCGTTCTCACGTTGTTTTTAAAATAGACGACGATAGTTTTAAGTTGCTGGTTGAGGATGTGGAAACGAGCTTTTAGCATCAAGACGAGTTCGGTGATTTGGTGGCACGCTACAGAGTTGATCACCATGAGGATATAACCCATGGCGTCGGCGACCAGTTCGTGGTTTTTGAGATTCATGAGGGCGGCGATGAGCAGGAAAGTGATCAACAGGATTAAAACTGGGTACCGGATTAGCATCCCTGTGAGGATTCTTTTTCTGGTGTGTTCACGGATGTTCGCAATGGTGTGGCTTGGCATTTGATTGTCGAAGTCGGTGATTTTTACCAGGAAAGCGATGAGGTTGTCTTGGTTCATGATGGCACAAGCCCACATGGTACAGACGTAGCAACCATTGACCAACAAAAGTAGCGTGTCGGTTGTTTTGTATATTGACAAAGGTTCGTCGATTATGGCAATTTTGTAAATGCTGTAAACGATAAGAGAGGCGTAGGTGATAATTAGAGAGACGGAATAGAGGGTTCGGGTTTTAGAACGCTGGAATTTTTTTTCGTTGCAGTTGAAGGTAATCAACCCGAAAATCTGGCTTTGGAGGAGAAGGATTTTGATTACGTTTAAGAAATTTTTGGGGACGTGTGGTGGTTTTGTCGAGTTCATGTTGATGTTCTAACACTTGTAATGGATGAAATGGATCTCTGAACAAGAAAACAGAGATCGATTTTATACATTAATGTAATGGGAATATTTCATTCGGTTATTGCATATTGTAGTAACGCGGTTTTAATTGTTTGTCGCGTCTCACGTTATGGAGTTGTCATAGTTGTTGTTGTTTTCGACAACTTTGATATACAGGTGGTCCAGAGGTACAACGATTAAGGGGACTCGCTAGACGAGGTATAACATTTTTTTGGTTTTTTGTATGAAAAAATAATAAAATCTAGAATAAGGTCAAAATCACACTAATATTACATCTGATTTTGTTAACCACATGAATATAATTTACATTAAAATAAGTTACAGACATTGTTTGAAATGTTTATTGTAGTTCGAAAACAAGATAAAATAAATAAATAAATAAATAAAATGTGCAGTTTATAAATTTCAGAATTTTAGTATAAAAATAATCATGTTTGAAGCTTTATTTTGTCTGTTCGATTTTATTGGGTGTATTGGGCCCCTCTCGGGATTAACACCGACATCAGTGCACCGACCCAACGTTCTTCAACCGATGGGATGATTTATTACTTCCGTTATGCTGGCCCTACCTACACACAGCTTTTCGGATTTTCAGATTTTCGGCTAGATCTGCACAGTTAACTCTTTGCGCACTGCACACTGACATAGAGTATTTTGTTCACGCGAGCATCAAAAATATTACGCCGAAAGCACTTCTTCAAGTGTTTTTTTTTTAAGATGTCATATTTGTCAGCGTTTCCAACATTTTCTTCTTTGCACAGGTCAACTAATTTTTCGTAAACCGCATTTTAAAATTTTTGTTATTGTATTTTTTACTTTTTAATTTTCTAAGGCATGAAAAAATCACATATAGGTTTCTATGAATTTATTAACGAAATCAACTGATAACTTGCGCGCCATTTTGTGTTAATTAACACCAATAGTGATTATGATAATTTTATAATTATCATTTTAATGAAATTGTGTTCTTCACTTCGCGAACGACAGCAAACAATTTAAAATTACCGCTAGTCAAGCACCTGAAAATCCATCTCTTCCAAATATGTCTTTCTTGGCACGATTTGTAATCCGAAGTCTCCCTCCACATGCAATTTTTCGTCGCCTGAGAACTTGTTTGATCTACAGACCAAAGCACACTCAGGCCAATATCGGCTTTAAGCGATTTATCTATAAACCGATATTCGTTAGAGTTGATGTGATACACAACCACTACGAAGAACTAACCCATTTCGACCATTGGACTTTACATCGAATAAGTGAAGCAAGTTCTTGAACATCTTAACGATTTAATACATAATGTTCCCGAATGACAAAATTTACATTTCAAATTGTATTAAATTACACTCTCCAAAATTTGTCACGAACAATGAAATGACGCAATCTCCAAATTTTACAATAGTAAAATTGTAGTTTCGCCCCGTTTACCGTTTATGCATCCGTGTCGAGTTTTCACCTTAGACGTCAAGATTTTTGGAAAAAAAATCAACATTTTCCAATTTATAATGTTATGTATTTAAATTTTAAAAAGTAGAATAGTCCTGATCTTGTGATTTATACCTAAATACGCTATTGGGATTTTTCGGCTTGTCGATTTCTCGATTTTTCAACTTTAAATGTCTCAATTTTTCAATATTTCAATTTTGGGCTTTTCCGATTCCTCCATTCCTTAAATTTTCTATTTCTCGATTTTTTTATTTTTCGATTTCTCAATCTTACGATGTTTCAATGATACGATTTCTCAATTTTTGTCCTCTTCAATTTTACAGTTTTTAAATATTTCGATTTTTCAATTTTTCAAATTTTCAGGTTTCTAAATTTTCAGTTTGCCGATTTCTAAAGTATTTTTTTTTATTTGTCCATTTCTGGATTTCCTAAAGTTTCGATTTTTCACATCTTCAATTCCTCAATTTTTCGATTTTTTAAGATTACGATTTTTCAATTTTGCTTTTTTAGATTTTCGATTTCTCAATTTTCCAATTTTTTAATTTCTCAATTTTTTTAATATTTCTTTCAGTTATGAGATTTTTCAATATTTCAATTTTTCGACTTTTCGATTTTTGAATTGATGGATTTTTTTTGATTTCTCGATTTTTTACTTTCTGGATTTTCAATTTATTGTAAACTTTAGATTTTTCAATTCTGCGACTGTTTAATGCTTCGATTTCTCAATTTTTCAACTTTTCGATGTTTTAATATTGCATTTTTTAAAATTCTAGGTTTTTCGATATCTCGAGTTTTCAGTTCTTCTATATTTCAATTTTTCGATTTTTTGAATTTTAATTTTTGATTTTCCAGTTTTTCTTTTTTAAAATTTTTCGATTATTCAATTTTTTCATTTCTCAATTTATCGAATTCAGATGTTTCGTTGTTTTGATTGTTCAATTTCTCAATTTTTTTCCTTTTCGGCTTCCGACTCCTCAATTTCTCGATCCTCCGATTTTTTGATTTCTCGAAGTTTCAGTTTTTGAATTTTTCGATGTTTTGATTTTTGGATTTCTCGGTTTTTCGATTTTTTTCTTTTGAGCTTTTCAATTTCTGGATTTTCCAATTTTTCAATGCCCCGATTTTTCAATTTTTCAAATTGAATTGGATCTCTCGATTCTTCAATTTTGCGATATTTTAATTATTCATTGTTTTAAATTTTAGTTTTTTCGATTTCTCGATTTTTTGACTTTTCAGTTCTTCAGTATTTAAATTTTTGAATTTTTCAAATTTTTGCGTTAAATTTTCAGTTTTCTGATTTCTCAATTAATCTATTTTTGATTTTCCCACTTCTCAAAGTTTCGATTTTTCAGTTCTTCAATTCTTCGATTTTTCGACTTCGCTTTGTTGGTTTGTCGATTTCTCAATTTTTGGATATTTCTTTCAGTTTTGATATTTTTCAATACTTCGATTCTTTCATTTTTCGACTTCTAGATTTTTCTATTTTTTATTTTTGGATTTTCAGTTTTTTGTTTTTTATTTCAATTTCTCAATTTTTCAACTTTTTCATATTTTAATTTTTTAATTTCTAGATTTTTCAGTTTCTCGAGTTTCCAGTTCTATATTTTAATTTTTTAAATTTACGAATGTTTAAATTTTTTGAGATCTCAATTCATTGAGATTCGGATGTTTCGATGTTTTGATTATTCAATCTCTCGCTTTATCAATTTTTCCATATTTAAGTTTTCGATTTTTCGATTTTGGCCTACTTCGGTTTCTCAATTTTTTGATTTTTCGACTTCTCGATTTTTCGACTCCTCGATTTTTTTTGTCTTTTGATTTTTCGATTTCTCGATGTCTCAATTTTTGAATTTTACAATGTTTCGATTTTTTGATTTGTTGGTTTTTAGATTTTTTGCTTTTCGGTTTCTCGATTTTTCGATGTTTCGATTTTTGATTTATCCGATTTTTCAATTGTCCAATTTTTTAAATTCTCGACTTCTCGATTCGTTGATTTTTCAGTTTTTCGATTATTAAATTTTAGATTTTTATTTTTATTTTTTTTTTGATTTTTTGATGTTTGGATTTCTCCATTTTTCAGTTTTAGGATATTTTAGCTTTTCAATGTTCTAAATTTTAGATTTTTCGATTTTTTAGTTCTTCAATATTTTTTTATTTTTCAAATTTTGACGTTTCTGAATTTTTAGTTTTCAGATTTCTCAATTAATCTATTTTTTTATATTCCCATTTCTCCACTTCCTAAAGTTTCGATTTTTCAGTTCTTCAGTTCTTCAATTTTTCGATTATTCAGGTTTTTGATTTTTCAATTTTTCGATTTTTTAAGTTTGCGATTTTTAGACTCTGCTTTTTTGACTTTTTTGTTTCTCAATTTTTTAATTTCCTAATTTTTTGATATTTCGTTCAATTTTGTGATTTTTCAGTTTTTTGATTTCTCAATTTTAACTTTTCAATTTTTGAAATCATTAATTTTTTTCGATTTTTTGAGTTTTCAGTTCTCTATATTTCAATTTTTCAATTTTCGGAATTTTTAAATTTTCGATTGTCCATTTTTTTTTTATTTTTCGATTTTCCAATTTTTCGATGTTTCGATTTTTGAATTAACCGATTGTTCAATTTCTCGATTTTACAATTTTCCCATATTTGAATTTTTCAGTGTTTTAAATTTTCGATTTCGAGGATTTACTGTGTTACAGTAGTCATCAGTCATTACTCATCAAGAACGATTATTGCTGTGCGTTAAAATGCCTACATACTGATAAGCACGTACATACAAGACACATTTAAGGCTGTTTTAGTATAATTTTTGCAATTTTAAATTTATTTCTTGATGTCTAAAATAAATCGTATATATTTAAATGGCTGTCATTTATGTGGTCAGTATTTTTGATTGTTTTTTGTCCGCAAATTTAATAAGTGGTCAGTATTTATAGTTTAAAATAAGTTTGTTTTGGATGAGGTCAGTAGCTTATGATCAGTGAAAATGTGGTCAGTAAAATTTATATTTTGTCAGTATTTTAAATAGTAGGTAATGTATTAAAGACAAACTAGCAGTATTTTAATTTGTAACGTCTGTAAATTAATTGAAATTGTTTTATATAATGTAATGTGGCAGTATGTAGTTTCGCGGCAGAAACATAACCTATAAAAGAGTGACGTGAAATAGGATTATCCATTAGGTTAAAATATGTCGCACCTCCTCCCAGTGCCAAACAAGTACCTATAGGTAAAAAACGGTCAAGAGGGAGACCCAAATTGGCAACACGGGCTCTCTTAATTGATTGACTGTAATGTCTTATTTTATTACATTTGCTTGTATTTTAGAGTTTATTGTTTATTTTTCATTTTTAAGACAATTATTCCTATATTTTTTGTTATGTTCTTACAAGAATTTATTACAGTTAAGTTTTATTGATACAGAGTTTTTCGTTTATTTGTAAGACAATGATATTTTTCGTTAAAATGCATTTAAAGTATGTTCCTATAAAAATGTATTTACCACCATTTATTTGTTGTTTATT